ATACGATATAACCTGATTTTTTATTCAATAAAATGTTGAATTACTATATAAGCATATAATCCAAAAAAGACGCGATATCCGATTTTTGTTTTACTCAGATGGATCCCTCCACCTTAAACGCCATTTGAGCTAATAATAGCCAAAGTGGCAAGTCATATATACTCTTCCAAAAAAAAAAAGAAAGAAAGAAAGGAAGAAACGCATAGAAGGAACAATACCCTGATAAATGGAAGTAATTCACTCGAGAAAAATGCATTACTTTTTAGCGAATTGTAAACTGAACAGCTATTTTTTCAAATCTCACAGAAAAAAAAATTGCAAAATGCTCAGAAAAACTTTAATCTCAATTTTCAAGCATTGGTTTCTGATGCAATTCCTTCGGGCACAATGGGGCTATCAAAAAATTGGATTCTTAATATTTTGATTCTACAGTATAATTTGTCCAAACCGGCTACCGCCGGTTCCATAAAATTTGGCCGGTTTAGACAGAATCCGGAGTGCAGAAAAAACGCAGGAAAATATTAATTTTGAAAATTTCATTGTTTATTTACAAGTTCATTATTATACTTAATATAGAATATAATATAAAGGATGAAATCAATCAATATTTTGGAGTCTAGAAATTATAAAATAGTCTCTTATGACTTACTGTAAAAGTTTGAAAGTCAGGTGAAATGTAACCTAAATCAAAATCTACAGGCACGCATAATATAGGCGATTTATGTTTCGCTTGTCATTCAATGTAAAAACAGCGATGCACAATTATTTACGATGTGCTAATTATTAGATTGAACTTCTAATTTTTATGTAAAAAATCACGTCTTCCCCCACAGTGTTACGGCGCCATTTTGAAATGCGGGATCCCGATTTATATATTGATTTGTAAATCGCGTACATATATTTTTTTTTTGTTATAATGTGGTAAAAGGATCGAGTTAAAACAAAATTATTTTTTTTTAATTGTAATTCAATCATATACAAGTATTTTTTTTTCAACTGGGCTTGACAAAGCCACGTTTCACTGAGTTCGTTTCATGGCACTGCTAATGTAAACAAATTATCAAATCCGCCACGAAAGGTGTTAATTGCTTTGAAGCAACTCAGGTGTTTAGAGGAAATAATTACCGTTAATTATGAGCAGTTGGGACCAGTCGGAATACAGAATAGACAGTATCCGTACTACACAGAATTTTTTTCTAATGAATTTGTTAAAGAAGTGCATGGGACTAACATTTAAAGACGGAATGGACAAAAATCCGGAGTACACAGAGTCCGGATTAGACAAATTTTACTGTAGTTTTATCTGAAAATTGACGCTATATTAAAATGCAGCATCTGAATGTTGCATAGCACCAAAGGACAAAGGGCGACTGGAAGCAGGTGTAGAACAGTCTACAATTGCAAAAGATTTTAATGTGACAAGCAGCACCATTTCTAACCTATAAAATATATACCATTAACAAGGAACATGGCAGACCATGTGTGACATCAGCAGCACAGGATCACTCCAGAGGATAAAGTAAATTTCAAGAATGTTTCACAATGACATCATGTTTCACATCTGAAGCATTAGCTATCCTTGAACTGTCCAGAAATCTAACAAGACCATTTGCAGTTGACTCTCAGATCGTCAGAGTACTGCCACAGCAACCCCGATGAACATTTTGGTTTAGCTACTAGTCCAGAATGTTAATCGGCTTGTTATAAGGTTAAGAGCACAAAAGCTTCGCAATGAAGCTTAGACAGAAATCTACTTCTAGGATTGAAAATTTTGGTGGTGGTAGAGTAATGATATGGAAAACGGTATTACATAAAGTAAGCCTGATTTGGTTCATATTCAAAGGACTTAGATGGAAAATGGCACTCCAACGATGTTCTACCTGCACAAGCCTTTTTTAATTTTGTAGCATCCTGGAGCCATATTTCAGTCTGAAAATACACAGCCACATACGACTCGTTTGTCAATCATATTCTTGCAAAGCAAAAGCAACCTGTTTCTGGCATAGTCATCTTAATCGACAGATTTAAATCCAATTGAGCAAGCATTGGACAATTAAATTGATTGTCACGATAATCGCTTTCCCAGACTCTGCAACAGCTGACCAAAGCTCTACATTTGGTGTGGTAGAGTACAGTGTTTTCCTATACAGTTTTTATTTCACATATTTGCTTATATTAGATGCCGTTTTATGCAATCATTTGTGTCTTTGGGGGTATACCAGATTAATCTTAAATGGCCTTGAACTGTCTATGATTTTAAAATTCTTTAGTAATTATGACATTTTGATTGTATCCCTATTGTTAACGTCAATACATCATTTTACAAAATAATCTTTATGTTCAATGTGTCACTAAAATTCTACTTTGCTTTTCTTTTTTGAAGAGTATACTCGTATAATGTAAGCGTTGTTGTAGTAAATTATCAGATGAACTTAAGTAATACAGAGGTTAATTTGTCAAAAGTTCAAACATTGTATTGTATACTTTTAATCTTGATTTTCATTATTGCCTACTTTTATCTGCTACACTCTTTGTTACCTCTGGTCAGAGAAGCATATCAAGTACAAAACGGGCAGGGAACAGACAACAAGATTTAAAAAAAAAAAAAATGTAAAGGCCTTGGGTAGTTTAAAACCAAAAGAAATCTGAAAAACAAAATTTGTTTCACAGTTTAAAGGAAGAATCGAGATTAAAAAAAAGATAGAAGCTAGAAAATAGAAGTAGACAGAAATCACTCTAAATGCATCATTTTTTTTTAAAATAGAATAAAAAAATTTAATGTTTATTTTAAATTAATTTATTTTATTATTAGGTGCCACACTTCAGAAACAGCTTGAGCCTTACAAACAGTTATATGTCAAAAAATTTGGAAAAATACGTTCAAGATGTAAATAAGCAACTACAAATACTGTAGGAAACTCAACAAATGAGTTGATAAATTGTTCTATTAGAGTACTTTAATTCAGATTTAGAATAAAGTAGTTTGATACATATCTTCGTATTTTGAATTCTCTTTTGAAGCTTGCTTTCGTATCAATATGTTAAGTCGGGTTTATAAAAAGCAATTAAAATTTTGTTGAGTAGATGAATAAGACAAAACATGAAGGGGGACCATTCTGGAAATATGACGTATATTTGCTGCATTTCAAAGTTTTATGCAGAAAAGCATCAACATGACTTATTTCTGATCTTATTTTCCTTTAGAAAATAGTGTCTGCAGCCGTCGCCCATTTCAATTTTCGGATATACTAGTATTGTGTGAAATGATTTGAAAATTTACATATCTCAAAATCTTTGTGGGCGATGCGTGCACTGTATGTTCTGATAGAAAATTCCACTGAAAATGTATGTCTTCTGCAACTTTAAAAAGAAAACACGGGAAAATGCACAAGTTCCTGACGTCAATATTATCATTTAGGAGGTCATATTGGAAAAATGACTTGTATATGTTTTTACTGCATGGAATTTCAATACTTCAGAAAGGATGAATTTTAGTTTCTTATGTCACTTCTAAATCTTGGAAAAAATACGGGGGCATTTTTTACTTGAAACCTTTCATTGTTGTTTGTGATATTTATAAAATGATGCTTAAGCAAAAAAAAGTATTCTAAGAACAATCAATCTTATCCATGGGCATGCTCAATAAACAAAGGGTGGACAATGCAAAACCTTATGATCACAAAAAGTAAGAGGAACTGCCATTGTTATTATATTCTGATTAGTAAAACCCGAAGTAAGCAAAGCAATCTCTACATTTTTAATTTCGTTATTCAGCCATGCTTATGTGAGAATTTGAATTTTGATATTAAATAGCTTGTCAAAAAATATCTGGACCTCTTTGCACTTAAACCTTTTCTAAGTAACATAAACGTCGTGTTCACGATTTCAAGTATTTGTTACCCTTTTTGCGCTAAGGTTTAATTTTTATACAAATTGTACATCGCATACGGCATTTTCATACGTTCATTTACCCCTCCATATCTCTCTGAGAAAAGGTATGTGCCTTGACACTTAAATAAACTGACTCAAAATAAGGATTTAATGATCCAGATCAAGATTTAGAGAATGCCCTTGGCCATATTAGTGCAATAAGGAGGAACACATATAAACATTCTCTACTGCAAATTATGCTTTGGTGAAGGATCGCTCCTTCAGTTCTAAGCACCATTACTACTCTTACGATAAAAATATTAAAAAAAAAAACCCAAACATTTTCCCCACTAGGTAATATGATAATTTTTAATATATGGGAACTTCAAAATAGATTGAAATACATCTTCCCAACCTCTCACATCGTACGGTTAATACGCATTTATCGAACATATAATAATTTAAAATGTACAAACTACAAAGCAAAAGAATTTCCCCTTAATTTCTTATTCAATTCATATCTTGAAATGGGAAATCATAGCCAGGACAATACATGATACTGCTCATAACTTTGATATGTTTAAAATGGATCTACATGTTTACATGTAGTTACTCGTATTACACAAAACAACGTTACTTTGCGCCTATATAATAGTAATTAATGACAAATTAATATATTTTTGACTTTGATGAAAAGTAGGCATTTGTTTACTTTTCTTTATTCTTGATACAAAAATATATGAAGATAATGAACAGTATTCAAGCTCAAAAGTCCTTTGACCAATACACATTTTAGAGTAAAGAAACATTCACCTCTAAAACATCAGAGATGGGATCAGTTGCCATGGAGGAGTAAACATCCTCTGCCAACCAGTCACACCCACCCTGCACTCATTGTCACGATCGGTAAATACCAGAAAAAATACATCGACAATACAAGTAGCATGAAGAAGTTGTTTGTCTTTTTAGTATTTCAGTCTGAATTGATGCATATTGGGAAACGATTCCTTAATTGAAAACTCTTCGCAGCATAACTGTATCTTCGTTAGTAAGATCAAGTTGCAAAAAACAACCCAAAACCTATTCAGACAACAAGTCAATATTATTTTGTTTAAGACAGTTTGGGAGTTATGTAGAGCGATATTTTCAAACGAACGGTATTTAATTTCCATGACCAGAACAAATCCGATTACATCAAAAACTGATCAAAGAATACCACAGCCTTGAACCGTCTCTGATATGAACTTTAAATGGCCACTGAGCACTAGATTGCTCTACTTCTGCAATGAAAGTTTTCTTACACGAAAATGTTTACCAACATACTACAGCAGAAAAATGGATGCAAACAGAAACGCTATTAAGGAATATCACTTCAAATTGATTGTTATCGGTGACCCAGAAGTAGGAAAGTCGTCTTTGGTAGCTCGCCTGTTAGATGATTATCCAAATACCGTAAACTATAACCATCGACGACTGAAATACACAAAGAATGTCTCAATCGAGGACTCAGTCGTGAAACTGCAAATACACGACACTGCAGGTACGAATTTTGGGCATAAAAATTCATGTTTTAGATACTTAGTATTTGATGTGCAATTGACATGGTAGTAGAAAGAAACATGGTTTGTGGAACCTTTTCTTAATAAACCACACAGAAAAAACACAAGGTGTTGAACAATTTGCAAAAATACATTGTACATTAAAACTCTCCAAAACTGTTTCAAACATACGTTAAGCTCAGTTAAAAACAATTTAGTTGCGAGAGTTTTCGTATTTGTATACATAGAAAAAAAATACACCTCAAGTTACTGAAAACAATGGACTTACTTTTTATATTTTGAAATGAGTTCTCAGTGTATGGATTTTATAAATTCAATGTATTTTTTGTAAAACACTGTCGATATTTTGCAGGACAAGAAAGATACAGAAGTCTAACACAGTCTTATTACAGAGGAACACACGCTTGTTTCTTTGTGTTTGACACCAGAAAACCAAACTCTTTTGACAGCATCAACTCATGGTAAGTATGATTTCACAGTTTTTTTTTTCTCGAAAGAGCAATATATAGATTGATCCATAAGTAATGTCCTTGTCCTTGATAAAACGAAAATAAACAAACAAATAAAACAAAATATTATCCATATTTAATAGATTAAGATTGAATAAATTCATTTTAATCTTTTAACATTAAATATTTGTATTTTTTTTTTGGTTGAAATAGGATGGAGGAGTTCAACTTCTACGCAGACAGTCAAAAGTCGGTAAACACAATCATTGGCACAAACTGTTGTTCCTCTGAACGTGTAGTCGATCAACAAACTTTGAAAAACTTTGCCAGTTTTCGAGAAGTGGACTACTTAGAGGTTGATTTAGAATGTAATGTCAATGTTTCGGACATCAGCGAAGAATTGTGTGCCAATTTATTGAAGAAAATGAAAGAGAATTCATCGTGCCATCACACATGTGGAAAGTACACTGTATCTCTACATAGACCTAGCTTAACAAAGAAAATTACGAATAAGATTTGTGAATGCTAAGTTTGATCGAGTGTCTTTGTTAAACGTGGAAGTACTCATTGCCATTATCTTGTCAAATTCGTTCAGTATTTCTGTTAACGTTATACTTCAGTTACAGTATTTCTGTTAACGTTATACTTCAGTTAAGACTTATTCATGTACATTATTTACTGTAATTATAATGATATTTTATCACAATAATGTAACATATTTGACCAATGTGTATTACGATTACTTGATAACATAACTATTTTATTGTATTAAAAGATGTTAATATCTTATTTTATCTCTGCATTCAGTCAATATTTCGCAAAACACATGTGAACAGGAAATTTATCCTATATTTTATTGTATTTTAGAAATGGTACATGTGTTACTTTGTTATTTGATTTGTTTTTCATTTATATTACTATACAATTGTTCAAATTTGTTTGTTTCTTATATAAACATTATATAAGTTTGTTTTTTTCCTTCCATTACAATTTATACATATTAACTTGAGCATTTGTAAAAAGTCAACTCTCTCTAAAGTAACTCTCTGTCAAAAAGAGACATCACATGTTTGGAATGATGATGTAATCCGTTCTATAGCAATCTGTAGATAAGGCGATAGATTTTACCTTATGAGCATCTGGAAATCTGACAATAATCTTATTTAAAAGGTATTGAAATAAAATATGATAAAGAGTATCATTAAGAAACAAACTTTGTCAAAGAGTCTGTTCTCATACATGTTGTACGACAAACATTTCCATATTTGGGAGACATAAAAAAATAAATGCATCTCTATCATATTGCATGTTCATGTAGTACTGGAAATACAATGAATCATGCAGTTTTCACTACGATATAGCCCCATCGAGGATAATATTAATGAAAAAATTGAAATGAAATACGTAGATAGACTTTAAAAGCTAAGTCAAATCGCTAGTCAGTTACTGTTTCTGTGCATTGAAATCTGAAATACCAAGATAAAATTATAATTTATTTATATCGAAAGCTTGGAATAAATTGTGAAGAATATATTTTCCTGTATTGGATTAATGTTGTTCAGATGTGTAGTACATGTGAAAAATAAAATATGTCTGTTCTTTTTACACGTATTGATCTTTGTTTATATTAGATTTTTATTCATATTAAATTCAATCACAGCTTACTCGTAAAATTATATAAAGACCCTCCAAAAATTATCATCAGTTAAAAGATATCGTTCGAGGAATAGTTCCTCGTGGGGCTACAATTTTGAAAAATAAAATTATTTTGAACTGTGGGCGTTTGAAAATTTAATTTGAATATGCATTACGATTATCAAACGGTTCGATAGAAGACGACGAAAAGATTCATAGAGAGGCAAATTTTAATTTAAAAAATTTCATTGAGACTTAGACCAAGGTAACAAAAAACAACTTTAAATTAAAAAAAAGTTCATAATTATAACACTTTAAAATCTTCCTTCACAGGATAAGAAATGATAAAAAAATCATATTGGTAATCTTTAGTTCCTTGAACAGTGTTATCATCCATACCCTGGTATATATAGCATAAAAGCCCAGTGACAATTTTCATGACCTAAAATCAATTATCACAATCTACATATATTTCAATGGTAACACTTATGCTTCCTGCTCTATCTTTCAACAGAAATATGTTCTGTTTTGACAAAAAAGTGTAATATTAAATTAAATTATATTCATTTATTCTATTAAAAAAAAGAAAATACAGAATATCACAAATTATTATGAAAAATCCACTAAAAAGGTAGAGTAGAATTAAGTATTGAATGGAATTTAATCATTTTTTAGCTTCGAGTTTTAATGTGCAAAACTGAATATAAATAATATAATATCAAAAGAGAAAATACTAGCAAAGACAGCAGATATTTAAACAGGTTAACAAAAATATTTAATTTACTATAATGAATTTGAAATTGATTTACTATGAATGAAATACAAAGGTAACTAGTGCTAATTGTAACGGGGACCGTTACAGATGTTCCCCAAACTCTCCCCAAGTCCCTTTTGGTTCCATATTCCCTGTAAGCTTCATTAAATAAGACAAACTCTATGCATCTGAGATTTTAACAACATTTACAAAGAAGTGTACAAAAATCAAAAAGCTTTGCACGCGTGCACATGTGAAATTTGCGTCATGACCATATCATCTTGTCTACACAATCTATATTTTTAATACACTGAATATTAAAGTATTTAATCCAAAATTATTTTAAAAAATCTATTCAAGTGTATGTTTTATTTTTCATTTCACGTGGTGCATACATGAGCATGGTGACCATACCTTCTTGTAGAAGTCCATTTCTATGTTCTAAATTCCACCCCGTTTGGGTGAAAACTAAGGGAGTTATAGCTGTTTAAAGTTTCAGCCAATCAGATTGCAGCACATGCACACGCACGTGTATGCATGTGCATGGTGACCATACCTACTTGTAGAAGTCCGTTATATCTATCTATATTCCAAATCCCATCCTGTTTGGTTGAAAACCAAAGGAGTTATAGCTGTTTAAAGTTTCAGCCAATCAGATTGCAGCGCACGTGCATGCACATGTTTTCACGATAATTGCTTTATTTCATGTTGTAGGATATCCTAATGCATGGCTATGTTAAAAATTTCAAAGGATTTCGTCAAAAAACAAGAAAGATATTGAGACTTTAGTTGCAGCCAATCAGAGCGAAGTGCACGTGCAACGTGAGATATTTTCACCATGTCGTCATGTCTATATACTAATATATCCTCACATTATGAGTTTCAAAGCATTTCATCTAAAAAAAGAAAAGTTGTGGCTATATCTATTATATTGGTCATTTCACGTGTTGCACAAAGCACGTGCGCGCAAAATGACCTTGATTCCGCAAATCTACATAACATGTCTACTAACCCTAAAAAGGTTTTACCTACATCGGACGAACAGTTTACAAATCATTTCCAGGAAGAAGAAGAAGAAGAAGAAAAATAATAATAACTAGAAAAGAAATGCGAGCAACGAGAGGTCTTGATTCTGAAAGAAAAATGTAAAATCGAAATGAAAAAGTATGGAACCCGGGTCGCCAGCGTGAAAATCCAATGCGCTAACCATTACGCCATTGACCACCGCATCAAAGTTTTAAATGCGAATATTTTGAGGTTGGTATTTTCGATTCTAATTCAAATTACATATTTGTCATTCTCAAATAAGGCTCTATTAATCTTTTTAATATCAATGAAAAATATCAAAAAACAAAAAAGTTCAAAAAATTGCCTTTTTTCAATCACTTCCTGTGACGACCGGAAGTGGCAGAAATGTTCTTATCACACATCTACAAACCAACCTCTATCATATCTGAAAGTTTGAGAATCCTAGAGAGCGGAATAGATTTTTAGTGGAAAAAATGAAAATTTGCAATAATTCCTGACCGGAAGTGAATTTTTCCAAATTCTTTTTATATTTCAAAATGGCATGGCAGAACACATAATTTCTGAAAATTTGGCTGAAATTCATTGAGTAGTTTTCGATTTGAAAAGGTCAAAAAAATAAAAATGAAAAATAATAATAATAATAATAATAATAAGAAACAGTAGAATCACTATAAGGTCTTCCGTGAAGACGGAAGACCTTAATAATAATAAGAAACAGAGTAAAAACAATATGTTCCCCAACTTCGTTTGGGGAACATAATGAACACCAATTAAACATAAAAGTTCATTTAAGCAATACAGGTGAGAAAGAGAGCAAATATGGACCTAAAACACCTGAAGTGGGATCAGGTTCAATGGAAGATTAAGCATTCCCTGTCACACCCGCCAGTGCTTCTTGTAATAATAGGGCAAACGTTTAAAAAAACCACAGACAGTTCAGTTTGAAAACAAGGGCCTGACACTTTGTATCAAAAGCGTCTCCCAACAGTCGACTTATTAGGTCATCGTATCGACTTCAGTATTTGCTAAATAATGCTTTAAACGAGACAGTTGATTCAAATGTATCCTTGTCTTATCAATTTATTAATCAATACTTGCCTCGTAAAAATAAATGTGCAAATGAATGATAAATGCTTTAACATGCAGTAATAAGTTGCTCAGATGGACATATATGTCGTTAGTATGATAGAATATCTCCAGAAAAAAGTTTTGTTAAGCATGAGAAAAAAATATCAATTTTTTATTAATCAAGTTTGTACTTGATCCTGTGTGGGATCAATGGCCTAATATAACACTTTTCTACAAAATGTGTAAATGAATAACAAAAATAAATCCAATGAAGAAATTATAGTTAAATAAAAGTTGCAATTTTAAATGGACATATATGTCGTGAACATTACAAATATCTCTTGTAAAATAAGAAAAGTGAAAAAATCTCGAGACGGACATTAAATAACAAACAAACAATTATCGCTAGTAACCACCCTGGGTGAAAGAACTTTGAAACAGCTAGTAATTGCTTTATGATTTTGGGAGAATGTATGAAGAAAGATGATTTAAATGAAGGCTTAGTACAAATGTTTGAACAATCATAAAGTTACTGCAAGCTGTTTTAAAAGTTATTTAACTTGAAAAGACGTTAATGGTAATCTAACAACCAATCTCTATGATAAACATGATGCCTTTAACTTTACAGTCGTCATTTTCCCTTACTTATGAAGCAATGTATCTTCATCACCTGCATACGAGTTCATTTATCTCAGTTGATTCGATACGCAAGAGCATGTTCTGCATATGAACAATTTCTAAAATGAGGTAAATTATTGACAATAGTCTCGATTAAAATTATCACTCCGTAAGTTTTATGGTCGATACCATGACCTTGTTAGCCAATACAATTTATCTTTGAGTCAAGGCTGACTGACGCTTTTCATACGAATTGTTAGTCCATTATTTATACTCTGAATTGACGACGGATTTTTCCATTATTTCCCGACCATGGCAAGGAGCACATGGCGGTTGTGACTGGTCGCTAGGGATGCTCACTCCTCTATATGGCACCTGATCCCACCTCTGATGTTTTGTAGGTCCTTGTTTGCTCTACTTCTATTTTGTATTGTTTTATGGACTTTTGATCTTAGATACTGTTCGTTATCTCCATATGTTTCCATGACATTTTTTTTTGCTTTATTCATCTGTCTTGCCTGTAAACTGTATGATTACTTTGGTTTACTCAATCCAAATAAAAAAAATGCTCTCGAAATCAAGCATATATCATACGAATACTAAAATGTGAAAATAAAACTATATACAAGTACGTGAGAATAAACAAAAGCAAAAATTTTTACATTGCATATCTTTGCGCTTAAAATAGAATTGTGCAAAGTGGAAAACAACTGTTCCAAATTCTAATAGCCTTGCAATCATAAGCTGTACAAACACACTAACTTATAATGTATACAAGTTTTTTTTTAAAGTTTATAACTGTTTTATCAAGTTTTAAATCGAGTTTAATAATGTACATGTATCTTAAATAGAGCTAATTTTAAATTATATTCATTGCAATAATTTTGATCTGAACCCTATTTCACCTCATGGCGGTGAGCAGGTTCCAAAGTGCAGTATGGCTAAGGGAAGAGGCTAGAGTGATATAGGGATTTGATATAAAGAAAGTAAAACAATCCAGTAATGCAAATACAAATTTTCGCTAATGCTAAAATAAATTAATATTTTTCTCATGGGGCGGAGTTGATGGGAAATCTATAAATAAAAAGTGTCATCGAAGCTAAAATCAGTCTCATTTATAGACCACTGCATGTACTATTACTTATGCTATTTTAATTCTTAATTATTGATTCACTTTAATGTTTTAAATAATAATGCAAAACTTGCAACATAATTTTCTAGTAGTTATTTTTTTTTATTTGTCCTTCATAGGAATAAGTAGATTTGATGATAAACCTTGTTTATATTATCCAGAGAGTGCGAAAAGTTTAAGCGGGATTTTAAAGATTGACACATGAAGCTCCTCCCACCTTTTCTACCCGATATCGAAACACCTATTGTGCAGAGTATAAATAGAACTAAACTAAAGGCAGTGCAGCAAATGCTGTATCGGGAGCCCTAATACCTATGCATTTAGCTATCTGATCACATTACATGTGTGTCATTATCGACATAGGACATTCTGGCCAGTTTTACTTGTAAAATCAGCCATCTTTGTGAAGAAACGATAAGTAAACGATTGGAGACTTTAAATCAAACACAATGTTTTCAACGAAACCAACGTCTATTAACAACAAAGAGAGGATCTCTAGCAAAAAGAGAAAGGACTTTAATTTGAAATTTATTGTGATCGGTGATTCCAGTGTGGGAAAGACAACACTTGTGGAGAAATATTGTGGTTGCCACGAGACAGGAAACAACAGAAATAACAATAGTCATTACTTTCATCACACAATAACCGACAAAGACTGGAGCTGCAATCTCAAAATATTCGACACTGCAGGTAAGGCAATCATTTTTAAACTTGAAATGTATCATCTTTCAAAAATACAATGAAGTATATAGTTACAAATGCTATCTATTTCATACATCCAGGAATATATACACATTTTGAAGGAATTCGTTAAAAAGATGAATGAATATGAGAAATAAACTTTTAATATTCTATGGGTTTGTTGCAGGTCAAGAGCGATACAGAAGTGTCACATCCTCGTACTACAGAGGAGCATATGGGTGTATCATTGCTTTCGACCTCTCTCAAGAAACATCGTTTGTCAATCTTGAAAATTGGTATGTATACAATTACGAACAGTTGTTCTCTCAAATGATACAAAGATGAATATATAATATCAGATTTCTGTGTCTATCCTAGTTAAGAGTAAAATGTGCATTATAACTGACCAAATTCTTTATGTTTTAGGTACAATGACATGCTGAATTACTGTAACAGCAGCGATGTTTCTGTGGTACTAGTGGGGATTCAAAGAGAGGGACGGGAGAGAATTGTGTCTACAGAACGGGCACAGAAATTTTCAGACTATTTGGATCTTCCATACTTCGAAGTGAATGTTGATAATCAAAGTGAAATCAATGACGTTTTCGACAATTTAGCAAAAACTGTCGTTCAGAGAATCCAGTCGCGAGAGCCTGTAGCCACAATGTCTACCTTCACTACGACAAATCTGTCAAAATTAATGGTAAAGACTGAGTCGAAGTTTGGTTGTAGTTGCTGCTAGCTGAAAAAAAAACAAGACATTCCTGTCCATGTGCCAAATAAGAATACATTTCATGCCTGTAATTTATGCCGGAATCTCATCATTTTCATAAAGCAATCTCATTGACATCGCCTTCTTTGATACGCAAAAGATTTTGATGTAACAATGTAAAAAAGAGAGCGTTTTAAGTGCAATAAATTTAAGTTATAAAATTTGCTTTAAACCTTTTTTTTAAATTGTATATGAGTGTGTTGTTAAATCTCATATTCTAGAACTTTAAAAGGCACTTCCCAAGGCCATGAGCAACAATTGCACAGGTAAATATTTTCATACCCGGTTAATATTTTCATACCCGAACATTTTTAAAATCCGCGAGATCTTCGCTCTCTACAGCACTGCTATTTGTCATTAATTTTAAACCAAGTGGTCATTTCAACACAAATATTAAATCACATAACAAAAAGGATCAATAATTCAAATGGCCCCTCTTTTTTAGAACATTTGAGATAACCTCAAGATTTTCCTATATTGAATTAATTTGCATATCGTATTCGTTGTATGACAAGAATAGTTATGCTGTAGCATTAAAAGACTTAAGGGGTAGGGGTGTAAAGTCTTCTCTCCACATCCAATGTAAGTTTTAACACAATTCTACTTCGAACTTTTAAAATCTCTACATCACCTGTTCGAACAGCTGATCATGACGTCAACTTCTATATTTGAGTAAATTTTAAACAGGGTGACCCTGACAACTAGGCGTGTCTTTTTAACAAAATAAACCAGCTGTGCACTGTGTTGATGAATAAATTCAGATTTTTTCCCAATCAAAAGAAAACATACGTAAAATAAACTAAAGAAAACGTTTCCAGAAGTTATGACAAAGGAGAATTTGAAAAGGGAAAGATTAGAACAACGACATGGAAAACGTGACTAGAGTTGGAAGATAACTGGACATTGGCGATTATTGCCCTCTTGCAGATAACAATGCTGTGAGTCAGCCCTAATCAACACCAGTCTGCTGAACTTACACGATAAAGATACCTCAATACAAGATGGACATTGCTGTCTTGTTTAACACAAGTGATTTTCTTTTCCTAGCAACTGCATTATAACCTTCTTAAATTACCTAATTTGATAGGTGTATAAAAGAGAGGTCGATCAGATAGAAACAAAATCAATGAACGATTTCAATAAATCAGGAATGTTTGATATTTTAAAGACATGTGATCGGGAGGTATTTGTCCTTTGAAATCGATAGTTTTGTTTATCCAGGAAATAATTTACCCTGTATAAGGTGCGCAGTTATTGTTTAGAAATTTACATGTCAAAAAATAGAACAGATTTGCGATATTTTCCACCAAAAAAAGTTTCATATCTAATTATAACTGATTTATGCATTAAAATAAAATATATAAATTTATTCATAACGATTGCTAGCTTATAGCATCATTTCTCAAGGTAACTTGATTGTATAATTGTAATGATATAATCATTAGTGACCAGTCCAAGTGGTCACCGACTATCTTCAGGCCAGGGGGAAACTGACCAATAACGTGAGAAATATTTGATCCATTGAATAATTCATTATCAAATAGTTAATGCATAACTAACTCAAAGTCCACTGTTCCTTCTACCGCTGTATTCTTTGACCAGTTAAATAATCAAAAGTGAGGTATAGTACTAACTTTTTGAGTTTAGAAAAAAACCTTCTTTAGGAAATTAAATCATTTTTATTGACTTGTATTTCAAGGCAGTTTTATGCACCAAATATTGTTTCGGGATAATGTTGTTCCTAGATGCCAATGCACAACAAGTAAAGGACACTGCACAATTAACCAGGCTGCACACTTGGAAAAACAACAAAAACTAATCTGCAAATGTAGCAATTTGATATTTTTACCCCTCGCTTGTGAGCCCAGATATATGTCTACCACTGAACTAATCTTATTGCGGCTTTTGATAATTTTTTTTTTGGTTATTAGACAGTGTCATTGTGACCCCCTATTTTATGTTCTCACCTGACAAATACTAATTTTTTGGGGGGGTATCTACATGTGTATATCAAAAGAGGACTTGGCCATTATATACTCGCAGTGGAGCGGAGATATAATATAATGTTGTGAGCTCAATGCTCACAATACCTCAAGATTAACCCGCTCTCCCCCAAAATATATTTTGCAACAGGAGGTTGCATAAATTTTTGCAGCAATAAAGAACTGTGAACATCTCGCAGATCTTTTAAAAGCGAAAAGTATAAACTTGCTGGAAGTAAATTTTTTGTGGTAACCTTTTATTCTAATACATAGATATTTTGAATACCATTGTAAAAACTTTTCAATTATACTTTTCAGTCATTTCTTACACAATAATAAACATCCTGTAAAAATTCATTTAAAAGTATGAATAGTTAAAAATTGCACAATTCTAAGCTGATGCAAAGAATTCAGATTAGCTACTTATAAGTACTCAGAAATAATTTGGTGAAATATCAATGGTTAGAAAGTTATTTATGCTAGTTTGCAAAATAGTATCTCCCTGTGACTTGTGTAATAGCCATGACATAATCACAAGTGACCAGTCCAAGTGGACATCCACGTTCTTTAGTGTTAGACTGTCCAAATTTGCGAGATATGAACTGATAAATTATTCACAAACAACTGATGCATAAATATTTGTTAGCGTTCAAGGTTCTTTTTGTCATTATGGGGCAACGCATTTATATACTCGGCTCTAGGGATCATTGCATAGTCAGGGGTCTTTACTCATGACATGGGACATCGGTTTATACATGTAGGTCTCATCCAAAGGACCGGTCTCTACTCCCATAAATGAGATTGGAACCCGCGATGTTAGGACCCATTGTTTACTCCGCCAGAATAAAGCAAATGCTCTTACAAACGCGAGCAAACATATTGAATTGTATGATGTGACCATTTTGTGGTACATTTTTGAAGAAAAGATCAAAATCACAAATGAAAAAATAATATCATTATTGTAACTCAATGACGTCATCAACCTTAAAAAAAATTACTTCCTTAAAGACTGTTGTAAAAATCGATACAATGCAGCAGGTTAACAAAGGGTCAGATCGCGTCATACGTATGGATGGGACTTTATTGTCACGTTTCATGAATGAAATGTACTCGTCCATCGACCCCACTTTACATACGATCGAGGTACATGCATGTATCTCGCTAAAGGTTGTCGTGGTTGCGATCATTAACACTGGTTACTTTAATTTTGTCAAAGAGTGAAATCAAATATTTCACAATTTTTAAAATTTGAATATTCCAATTTTTATCAAAATAAGATCATAGAAAATAACAAGGCTCTTGTTGAATACATATTATTTATTATACCACCCGCTTGAAAAGTGGAAGAGTATAAAGTGTTCGGGATGTCGTCTGTCTGTACGTCCGTCCGTCCGTTACGCTTTGGGGTACCCATCTCTTGTCCGCAACTCATCTTATACCACTGAATTAAATTTAACGAAACTTTCACAAATTCTTCACTGAAAGAAAAACCTAGTGAATTTAACTAGTGTGCCTCGTAAAGCGTTGGTCGTGATTAGTAAACTTTCATTTTACTGGTTAAGATAGTGAGTTGTGGAGCGAGGGTCGTATAGATAGTTAGATACCTAGTGAAAGTTACTTATCAATTCTACAAATTTACTAATCTTATCTAGTAAATATACCAATATCTGGTAAAACTACTTTTAAGGTAGTGATTGTATGGACAGTAAATTTACTAGTTTTCTTCGTGACTTTAACTAGTTATTTTTTTACAGTGTTTAATTACATAGTGCCTTTGTGACCTCCTATTTTACTTTTTGATCGGAAACATATTTCGGTTTCCCAAACAAAACACTGACAGTGCCATTTTTTCTATAATACTGATGGGTACCAACCTCCAATCCGCGTCTCCACCTAAACCACTGAATAACATTTAATGATACTTTCACAGATTCTTTATTTAATAAAACCATTGTGCACCTCCTATTTTACTTTTTGATTTGACACCTATTTCGGGTCTCCCATAACAAAACATCGATTTCCTCATTATAATCAAATGGGAAGCGTGAGTATCATTTTGAGAGCTCACTGCTCACAGTACCTCTAAGTTAAAATGAAAATTAGATAGCTCAAATTTTTTAAGGCTTCAACAATAAAGATATTTTTCTGTTTCACTCCATCTCACTTGTAGCACAAAAGACTTTTCCTTTTTTTTCCCTTTTTAGGAAAATTAAGTATTATTTGAAAAACCTAAATTTTCCCCCTGATTTTGCTATTCTACCTAAAATCAAACAATATTTATGGCAATCCCCCTTGAAAACCTCTTGACCTTTACATGTGAGGGTGTTGCAGATGAAATCAATGCAAAATGCCTCATACTTTGTTGTATCTTACAGATGACCTTGACTAATAGTCTACCCGATGATATTCTGTGAACTCAATAAATTATAACGATCAATATGATTACAATACCAGTGATTTGGGTTCAAAAGTGCAAAGCGCAATTTAGTTGAAACAACTGACAGGTATATTGTACTTCGGGAATGTGCACGTGATATCTCAATAACCAATCAAAGATTAAACAGCTCACCTGGACAAATGTTGTCTTTAAGATTTTAACCTACTTCTAATAAATGTTTATTTATGTCGTGTGCATTCCTTCATTTGGTAACAATATAGCATAGTGGGATTAAATTTACTTAAAATATTTACACTATGTAAAAACACGGTAAATGGAAGTCAGTTGTAGCATCCAAAGCAAGTTTTGCAGAAAAAGCACATGACAAATCCAACTAGAGGTGCTGTGTGCACCGAGCTCACTAAATCATAACCACTCAATGAAGTGTGAATGTGGCTTTCTCAGAATCTTCGTTACACAGTGACATTGTGCACCTATGTTACTTTTTAATCGGATACATATTTCTGGTTTCCAATAGCAAAACATCGACACTGCCATTCTTTCTACAATATTGAATGGTATACATCTCTTAGCCGCAACTCCTCATAAACCAATGAATAAAATTTTTTGATATATTCAAAGATTCTTCATACATAATGTCACAGTCCACCCCATATTTTACTTTTTGACATGACACTTTGATATGCCACATTTGGGTTTCCCAGAGCAAAACATAGATTTTTCATTATATTCATATAGGAGGCAAGGAAGGATTATTATTTAGTGAGCTTATTGCTTACAATACC